TGCTCAGTGACCAGAGGAGAGATATTGTATATCATTCATACAGGCTTAATTTGGGAGAAAAAGAAAAACATTCTCCTGGTTCATACAGCACTCAAACATCTACATTGCCCTGTCTCTTTTATGAATCTGTGTTTGTTTTTTCTCTGCATGTGTATACATCTTGTCCAGTTCCCTTATTCATCCCTGAAGTGCTGTGCCTCCTGAAGGAGAAAGACAAGAGAATTTTTCATCTTTTGTCCACTTGGAACAAATTTGTATTAAAACTGATAGTTGCAATTTGGTGTACAGCACAAGGAAGATGACACTGATAGACATATAGAAGAGAATTGAATAGAATTCTTTATTGGCCAAGTGTGATTGGACACACAAGAAATTTGTCTTTGGCGCATATGCTCTCAGTGTAAATAAAAAGAAAAGATACATTCGTCAAGAATCATAAGGTACAACACTTAATGATAGTCATAGTGTACAAATAAGCAATCAAATCATACTAGGAAACAATATAAATAGTAAGGTTACAAGCAACAATGTTATAGTCATACAGTCATAAGTGGGAGGAGATGGGTGATAGGAACATATGCAGGAACTGTTATCTATGCAAAAGTATAAACAATTTTTTGAATACATGAAAAGAGTAAGAGTAAAAAGGAATATTAGGACAGGGACGGTAGGCACGCTGGTGCACTTAAGCACCAGGGGTGGGTTCTAAAATTTTTTACTACTGGTTCTGTGGGTGTGGCTTATTTTGTGGGCGTGACTTGGTGGGGAGGTAATGTGACTGGGTGGATGTGGCCAACTTTTTTTTTAACTTTTAAAAGCATTTTTTTCTACAACCTTAAGAGGTTGCAGAAAAAAATGCTTTTAGAAACCTCTGGCGATCAGGCAACTCAGCTGGGATCGCCAGAAGCTTTTAAAGGCATTTTTTTTCTACAACCTCTTTGGCAGAAGAGGTTGCAGAAAAAAAAATGTTTTTAGAAGCCTCTGATGATCCCAGCTGAGCTGCACGATCATCAAGGGCTTTTTTTAAATATACTTTTAAAAGCATTTTTTCAGCCGAAGAGGTTGTAGAAAAAATGCTTTTAAAAGTTTTTTTTTAAAAAGCCTCTGATGAGGTGGGCACGGTAAGTGAGTGGCGACCGGGCCGGGGACCGGTTCGGGGCGTGGCCAGCCAATGTTATTACCGGTTCTCTGAACTACTACAAATTTTTACTACTGGTTCTTGCGAACCGGGAGCAACCCACCACTGTTATGCACACCCCTTACAGAAATCTTAGGAATGGGGTGAGGTCAACAGTAGACAGTTTAAGGTTAAATTTTTGGGGTTTAGGGAAGAAACCACAGAGTCAGGTAGTGCATTCCAGACATTGACAACTCTGTTACTGAAGTCATATTTTCTGCATCGAGTTTGGAGTGGTTTACCTTGAGTTTGTATATATTATTTGCTTGTGTATTGTTGTGGTTGAAGCTAAAGTAGTCATTGACAGGAAGGACATTATGGCAGATAATTTTATGTACTACACTTAGGTCAGACCGAAGTTCTAAGCCCAAAATTTAAAGTCGGGTGGCATAAGGTCTTTTATTGCAGGTAGAGGAATGAAGGACTCTTCTCGTAAAATATCTCTGGACACTCTCAATTGTATTTATGTCCGATATGCAGTGCAGGTTCCAGACAGATGAGCTGTATTCAGGAATTGGTCTAGCAAATGTTTTGTATGCTCTAGTTAGTAGTACAATATTACCAGAGAAGAAACTACACAAGATTAGGTTAACCACTCTTAATGCCTTTTTGGCAATGTTGTTACAGTGGGCTTTGGCACTTAGATCTTTAGAAGTGAGTACTCCAAGGTCCTTGACAGGTAAGGGTCATCTACAAGGTCATATCCATCCAATTTGTATTTTATGTTTTGATTTTTCTTTACCAATGTGCAAGACAGAGCATTTGTTGATTGAGATTTGAAGTTGCCACTTGTTAGACCAATCTGACATGTAGTCAAGGTCTTTTTGAAGGGTAGTTGCATTGTCGATGGTGTTGAATAGTTTAACATCATCAGTGAAGAGAACACAGTTGCTTTTAATATGATCGCAAAGGTCATTTATGTAAAGTATGAAGAGTGTTGGACCTAAAACACTGTCTTGGAGAACACTACTAGTAATAGGGAGCTGAAACATTTTTTAAGTGCAGAACAAGATAAAATTCAGAAGTGACACAGGAAGTTGCCTCCCTAATTCACTAAGCTTTAAGAAGGAGAGGAGATGAAGCACAATTAAATTGAAAGATTATATTATTATAGCCAATCACAATAACAGCAACTTTAGCCTTCCTGTGGAATTAATTTCCTGGTCTACATAGTGGAACTGATGTCTGATGGCCTTTAAATGATCTTCCTTCTCATCCCGGCATGGATATCAAATCCATGCCCAGGTTGGGCAAGGCTATTCTAAGCGGTTTGACTACCGTCATGAGCATAATAATATAGCCCTGGTATTTCTTTGAGCAACACTCCATCTTTCAAAGTCTGAGCAGCAACATCAGAGGTTGGTGCTACTGGTGAAGAGAGGAAGAAGGACTCTTAGGTATTGCCCTTATTAAAATTTATTTATTTTATTTTTTTTATTGAAAAGTTTTACAAAAAAGAAATACAAAAAAAAATTTTCCCCCATGTTCCCCCCACCCTTTCCCCCCTTCATCCCACCCTCCCCCCCAGACTTCCCAGAGCAAAATACAAGGTATTTCATTTAATCAATCATAAACTAGATTAATCTACTTATCCTCAAAGTACTAACTCCCCCCCCCTGAAACCTTAACTCCACTATAGATAACCTAATACTTCTAATACTAACATTCATTCATAAGCTATTTGATATTTTCTTGTCTGATACTTATTTTGAATATAATCAATCCATCTTCTCCATTCCAATACGTATCTTTCTTGCGTGTAGTCCTTCAAGTACGCTGAGATTTTCACCATTTCTGCTAGGTTTGTTACTTTCAATATCCACTCTTCAATAGTAGGCAAAGAGTTCTTCTTCCAATATTGAGCTACCAGCAGCCTAGCTGCTGATATTAAGTTCAAAATCAATTTAGTCTCTAAAACTGTACAGTCCATAGTTATTCCCAATAGAAACAATTGAGGAATAAATTTCAACCTTCTTTTCAAAATGTTCTGCATCACCCACCAAATTTTTATCCAAAATGCCTTGATTTTCTTACAGGTCCACCATATATGATAATAGGTTGCATCATTACATTCACATCTCCAACATTTAGCTTGCAAATTCGAGTACATACATGATAATTTTTTAGGATCTAAATGCCATCTGTAAAACATTTTATAAAAATTCTCTCTCAGATTTTGTGCTTGCGTAAATTTAACATTTCTGACCCAAATCTTTTCCCACGTTTCCATCATCACTGGTTCCTGAAAGTTTTGTGCCCATTTTATCATACAGTCCTTAACCAATTCCGTTTCTGAGTCTATTTCCAATAATGCATTATACAACCTTTTAATATGCATCTGACTTTGATCTCTAATCTGTTTCACCAGATTTTCCTCATTTTGCATAACCCCAATTTTTTGATCCTCCCTCCATCTAGCTTGAAGCTGACCATACTGAAACCAAGTATAAATTATCCCTTCTTCTTTTAATTCATCTAAAGATTTCAGTTGCAACTTACCCCTTTCCAAAAGAAGAAGCTCTTTATAAGTAATCACCTCTATTTTTTGCTCTATACTTATATTTTCTATTGCATGTCTGGGATTTGCCCATATAGTTATCTTATAGTTCAGCTTATATTGGTACTTTTTCCAAACCCTCAACAATGCATTTCTGAGTATATGACCCTTAAACACTTTATCCACTTTTTTTTCATATAACAAATAAGCATGCCATCCATATAACAAATCATAACCTTCTATGTTTAACATTCTTTCTTCAGTTAAATTAAACCAATCACTAATTTGTCATAAAGCTGCTGCTTCATAATACAATCTTAAATTAGGCATTTTAAGACCACCTCTCTCACGTATATCCTGTATAGTTTTCAGTTTCACTCTTGGTTTCTTCCCAGCCCAGATAAAAGTATTAACCACTTTCTGCCATTCCATCAGATTTCCATCTTTTTTAAGCACTGGTATCATTTGGAACAAAAATAAAAACCTAGGTAGTACATTCATTTTTATTGCTGCTATCTTTCCCAGTAGTGATAGTTGTAACTTTTTCCATTTTTCCATTTCTTTCTGTACTTTTTGCCAAAGAATTTCATAATTATTTTTAAACAATTTCGTATTTGAGGCTGCAATATATACTCCTAGATACTTAACCTTTTTAACTACTTCAAACCCCGTTATTCTCCCTAAATCTTCTCTTTGAGTTATGGTCATATTTTTAGTTATCATCTTTGTCTTGTGTAGATTTACTTTAAATCCAGATACTTTGCCATATTGAGCTACTATGTCCAGCATATAGGGAGCCACTTCTATAGGTTGAGATAAAGTAAGAACCAGGTCATCTGCAAACGCTCTTAGTCTATAATCCTGCTGTCTAATTACAATTCCTTTTATTTTGTCAGAATCACGTAACTTATTCAACAAAACTTCTAAAGTTAAAATAAACAACAATGGAGACAAGGGACAACCCTGCCTCGTACCTTTCTCAATTTTAAACACATCTGTTAAACCTCCATTAATTATTATTAAAATTTAGAATGCCAGATAAACTTTTGCATAAACTCTTGGTCTGAGGTCATATACACTGGATGAAAATATCTGCAAGGGTGTCACAACAAAAGATAAAAACAACAACCCACAACGCCCAAAATAGAGACATTGACTCAGTCAGAAGTATCAGTCTGACTGAAATTATTTGGAACATATCTGTGACCCAAGCTGCTTGCAGAAGTGGTCAGCCTGCGTTCAATAGAGTTTGCAAAGGAAAATCCTCCCTCTAAGTCCCTGTTGGCTTCCTCAGGATCTTTATGGGCAACTTGAGTCCAGGAATCTGGTATGACACATGGCTAGACTTGAGGTTAAATCCAGATCAGCCTTCCCCAGTCTGGCAGGTATATTGGATCATGTCTCCCATCATCCTCAGCTGTTCAATAGTGGAGATCATGTCATTAATTACCTGGGTAATTTGACATGGTCTTCCAATCTTGCTTCCATTTAAAGAAAGGAAAATACATGGGGGGAAGGGGTTATATGGCAAAACAAATTAATTACAAAGCCATTCATAGAAAACTAATGGTTTTTTTCACTATCACAGTAAGTCTGCATTTTAAACCATGGTTGGATAAACAACTGAAATGGTTGCTTAACTCATATTTCTATTGCTTTTTTTTTTAATGTGAAATCGTTTTATTGATTGTTCTCACTGACTGGTGTAAATGAATGTTGTGGGTAAGTTCTGCCTGGCATTTTTGTACACAAGAAGTAACTTCAAACATAACATTGCAGGTCTTTCACACCAGAAAGCTTACCAAGTCCTCACTTCCTGAACTTTGTGTGAGACCACAGATGCAGACAGCAAAGGTTGGGCACCGTCATAATTTTTTTAAATAGGTTTGTATCACATATTCCATTTCTATGTTGAACAGTTTGTTTTCTAGGTGTCCAAAGTGTTAACATATAAACATCATCATAATCATTATAATTATATGCATATAAACATATATATGATAATATAAATGTTATTGAAAAGTATACTATCTTCCATTATAATATCAATTATATAACCATCAAATTATTTACTCATCAGTTTTTCTTTCTCATGTAGTCCATATTTCACATAAATCCACTCCTCTAACCTCAGTATCTGTCAATTAACCATTTGTAGGATAGTTTCCATGTTATAAAATATTCCGAGTCTTCTTTTCCTTTGATTTTTATAGTTAACCTATCCATTTCTGCACATTCCAGAATATTTTGATTATATTATCATCTGTAGGGGTTTCTAAATTTTTCCAGTATTGTGCATATACAATCCTGGCTGCTGTTAGGATTTGTAAAATTAAATATGTGTTACCCTTATTATAGTTTCCTGGAAGCATGCCCAACAGGAATGTCTCAGGTTTCAAATCTATGTGTTATTATGTCATAGTTTCCAGCCATATGTGTATTTTCTTCCAGTATTTTTTTTTTTTTTTGCTTTGGGACATGTCCACCACATATGATAATATGAGCCTGGTATTTGATTGCATTTGATTTGATTGCATTTCCAACATTTAACATATTTATTTTTATAAATATTCACTAATCTTGCAGGTGAATAATGCTATCTATAAAACATTTTATAGAGGTTTTCTTTATACACTGTTGACATTGTGGGTTTATGATTTCTATTCCATAATTTCTGCCACCTGTCCAAATCTATTGTATAGCCAAAATTCTTAGCCCAAATTATCATAGTTTCTTTTACTTGTTTTCCCTCCAATTTGAAAGTTAACAAAATAATTGTATATCCTCTTGATTAATTTTTCATCTGTTCCCATTAGAATCTGGACTACCTCATTTGGTTTGTTGTAAAACCCATACTCTTTTTCATACCTAGATTGTATCTGTAACTGTGGCCACCATGATAGGTCAATCCCTAATCTTTTTTAGTTCTTGTTTTATTTTTAGTTCTCCCCTTTCATTTAATATGTCCTTATATCTTATAATTTTATCCATATTTATGACATCAGGATATAGCCACGCCTCCATTATAGATAACCATACTGGCACTTTCAAGTAGTGTTGTTCTTTGATTTTGGTCCATGCTAGCAGTAATGCATTTCTAATGTATTGCCTCTGGAAATAGCTGTGTATCTTGCCCTTTGTGTACCGTAAGAAGGCATGCCATCCGAATTGCAGATCATGACCTTCCAATGTTAATAGCCTTATATTCCTCAGATTGACCCACTCTTTCATCCACGTAAGTACCGATGCTTGGTAGTATAGTTCCAATCCGGAAGACCGAAACCTCCTCTACTTTTAACATCTTGTAACGGTGTTTAACCATAAGAAAGGCTGAGTGCCAAAGAATCAAGGCCTTTGAACTATGATGCTGGAGAAGACTCCTGCAAGTCCCTTGGACTGCAAGGCGATCAAACTGTTCAGTCCTAGAGGAGATCAACCCTGACTGCTCTTTAGAAGGCCAGATCCTGAAGATGAAACTCAAATATTTTAGTCACCTAATGAGAAGGAAGGACTCACTGGAGAAGAACCTAATGCTGGGAAAGATTGAGGGCAAAAGAAGAATGGGATGACAGAGAATGGATGGAGTCACTGAAGCAGTAGGTGTGAGCTTAAATAGACTCCAAAGGATGGTAGAAGACAAGAAGGCCTGGAGGAACATTGTCCATGGGGTCACGATGAGTCAGACACTATTTCGCAACTAACAACAACATTCTCGGTTTTTTTCCTTGCCATACAAATTTCAATATCATCTTATTTAGGTCTTCAAAATATTTTTCCCCAATTTTATTGCGATTGTCTAGAACAGGTATAATAATCTCGGCAGAATATTAATCTTAATTGTTGGACACCATCATAATTGTCCAAGTAGCTCTGCCATTCTCAGATGCTGCCCTTTGAAAAGTTGCTTCTCTTTTTTGTGATCCAACACAAAACAGGTGTGGTGGGAAGCGAAGACCATCTGGAGGCGTCTCTGACTGCTGAATGGTAATAGTGATATTTCCACCAACATCTCCCTCTCTCAGCTTCAAGTGGTCACTACACCTCTCCAATTGAAGAGAGAAAATTCAAATTTCAAATTCTCTCCAACTCTTCCCCAATTTGTAAGCTCACCAACTGAGATTGGAGTTGGGCTGACTTCCCAGAACTTATAAAAATTATTTTAATTTTTTTCCTTTTTTTTTAAAGGGATGATTCAAAGTCATGTTCAAAAGTTATATATGTGGAAAAACTTCACACAGGAAAGAAAGCTGAAAGCTAACCAAAGTGTAACAGAAAATCAAGTGTCACTGCATAACATTAATTCCAACTGAGTTAACTCTCTTGCATAGAGGAATATTTCACTGCTGTGGAAAAAGTATGTATATAACCTCTGAGGCAGAGAGTTTTGCAGACGGGGAGCCTGATGTATTAGCACTTAACAACTGCCCATCATCACTTTTTCTTTTTTCTCCTCCTCTTTCTCTTTTCCATCTCCAATTCCTACTTGTCCTTCCTCCTCTTCCTCCTCTTCCGCCTCATTGTCTTCTTCTTTCATGTCCATCTCCTTTTTCTCTTATCCTCCTCATTCTCCCTTCACTTACTCCTCTTCATTCTTGTCCTCAGAATAACAGAGTTGGAAGGGACCTTGGAGGTGCTCCTGTCCTCCTCCACCCTTGTACTTTTCTTTCAACAGATCAATGAAGAAGGAAGAATATGTGATAGTCAACCCCAACAATAACAAATTGAATTTGAAGGGAAGGCTCTATGAGAGAGCTAATGGTCACAGAATGGTACTAAGAGAAGTATCGCTACATATAAATGGGATTCAAAGGTATTGTCTCTGTGTTACTACATTAAACTGAAAATTATTTCTATTTTGCTTAGAACCAAGGTTTGTAGTATCTTTATCTTAGTGTAGATATTATACAGTAGGTTTTTGAATTTATTTCTTAAGCAAACCAAACATTTTCCCCAGTGAGTTTACATGATTAAAAGTTATTATCAAAATTCACTTTTTTCCAAAGTGTCTTGCTAAGAAATGCAGCTGGATTTATCCTTATAAATAATTTTCATTTACAAATTAGACTACTAATGCATTCTACAGTAAACTCCTGTTGATTGTTGTTGTTTGTTTGGTAAACTGATATTATGCCATTCTTTGTGGAGTTCACAAAGTGTATAAGTCATCATACAGAAGGAACTTCTAGAAAAAAATTGTGAACCAGTTTGAAAACAGCAGCAACTCCACATCTTTCTGTTCCTAAATTGTCACCACTGTTGGAGATCTATATTTTATTTTTTATTATTTTTGCAGGCACATTTGTGCATTTTATTTTATTATTACATTGTTATAAAACATACCCAGCACATTACTTCAATATAGTACTATTTATACAGTATTATCTAGAGATTAACACTCTGATGTTTACATAAATTAGGCCCATTAAAGATAGGAAAAAGAGAATATTATATCAATATAAACTATGATTTAAAATTTCAGGGTTAACAGAAATAAAATTATTTAGCCTTTTCATTCAGAACTGAATATAGCACTAAGGAGCAAGTTTCATCAAATACCTGGAGGATAGGCTACTATAAGTTATAAGACATAATAAAAACACAGCAGGTTAAAGGTTTTTAACAATCAGATGTTTACACGATGACTCCATCACTGATGCCACTGTTTCATACATTTGGTTTCAGACTCCTGTGGTGAGTGCAAAAGATGGAGCACAACTCTTAGGAGGAAGACCATGCTTAATTGAAACATGTTTTGTTGAGTTCTAGCTTACAAATGAAGAGGAACAGAGAACAATTGAAAGAAAGGATTGTATAAGAGTTCTAAATTCTAGTCGTTAAAATCAGTACATGTTACACAGCTGATGTGGAGCATAGACAGGTGCAGAGAACAATTTCCTAAGACCAATTTGGGCTGAGGAAAATTAAGAAAATGGACTTGGAGATCCAACAAAAGCAAAACAAAAACAGAACAGAACTATCCAGACACCAAAGAAGGGAAAGAAGACTTTTGATAGAACTATTTTGTTCATATTGTTTCCAGTTGTGGTTTCTGCCTTATTAGGTATCTGTGGTCTCCTTAGAATTTAGAAATGGACAGCAATTACTTAAAAATGGCTTTTGATGTGCAAGCTATTAGTTTCATTTCCTGTTGTCTTTTTGCATAAAATAAGATGAGAAGAAATATGTTGCTCTAGTTCTACCATGTTACTAAATCCCCCAAGTTTGGCTGCATGGAAGGTCCAGGCTAGTTAATTGCTATTGTTAAATATCAGATCTCTTCTCAGCCTTAAATGTAATTGTCCAAGCTCTTAATATAGTACCAAGATAATGCATTTTCTGATTAAGAAAGCATTAAGGAAAACAAATAACAATCCAATCCAGCACCATTGCAGCACTCAAACACTTCACTAGACAAAAATAAATAGATTCAGTGATATATTGTGATCTCAGAGTCATGAGGTATGTACATGAAGTGTTCCTTCAAGGCCATCAGATCTTTTATTATCCTCTCTCCCCCTTTCCCCTCCTTCAGTTCTTCCTGAAACTGACCCTAAAATGGGAGGCTATAGTTGCAACCATGTGCCTTAAAGCAGGTCAGAATTTGAATGTGCAGGAATATCTATGGTATGTTGGCTCCTGTTACCTCATCAGTCAATATCTCTAAGTTGTAACTGAGAAACTCTTTGTGGAATGTGGCTCATGCTCACACCATTTTATCCAGAGCGAATAAGGGAAGGTCTGGGAAAGGCAATGTGCCATCTGATGATGTTCTGGTTACTTTAGATTTGCAGAGAACATTTCCTTTTGTTCCCAACAAGACTGACCAACTGTCTCAATGTATTGCTGAGGATGCTCATTTTTCCATGTGAAAGCTTGGAGACATGGAAAGAATTAGAAGATGCAAAACTCTTGCAGGAAATAGAAATTAAGTACAGGGAGGACAAAAACATCCCCTGCTATTCATGGTGAAGGAACCCTTCCAGACAGAAACTGGACAGCATTCTTTTACTGTCCCTTCTTTTGCAAGATGGGTGCAAGGGGGCAAATTTGGAAAGCAGAAAATCCCATCCTCAATAAGCAAATCTCTCTTTCTCTGTAATTTACTTTTTACTACCCCTGTTTCCCCCCAAAATAAGACCTATTCTGAAAATAAGCCCTAGCATGCTTTTTACGCATGCGGATAATATAACCCCTACCCTCAAAATAAGCCCTACTTAAGTTCCTGCGCAGCTGCCCACATGCCCATTCTGTCTGATTGCTCATGGTGCTGCCAACATGAGGTGAGACGAGAGGGAGGTGGAGCTGCCCGATGTGCCCTGCACCGGCTTATCTCAGGGCCCCCACAGCCAGGCTGTCCACATCCCAACAACTGCCTTGTGGCTGCAGCACTGAGTTGTCGCTCAGCCTTCTGTTCCATTGAGATTGTGAGCAAGCAGAAGTGGGCTGGCGGCCACACGGTGTTCTGCTGGACAAGGCTGCCAGAGCCACCACTGTGAGGCAAGGCATGGGTGGCCTGGTTGTGGGGGCCCTGAGGTAAACTGGTACAGGTCGCGTGGTGCAGCTCTACCCCTTGCCTCGTGATAGCAGCACTGACACACTATGCGGCCTCCTGCCCCGCCACGGCCTCCCGTACATGGGGGAAAAAAAGACATCCCCCAAAAATAAGTCTTAGTGCTTTATTTCGGCACCCAAAAGAAAATAAGACTGGGTCTTATTTTGGGGAAAACACAGGTATATAGATTAGATTTTTAAAAATCCTACCTTTATTATTTTTATACTTCATTATAATAAATGTGGCAAACAAACCTAATACTCCTTCCTCCTCCCATTTTCACCACAACAACAACCTTTTAAAGTGAGCTGGGCTGAGAGAGAGTGCCTGACCCAAGGTCACCCAGCCCACTTTTTTTGCCTAAGGTGATCTCCTGTCTTCTAGTCTGGGACCTTAACCACTAGATGAAATTGGCTCTGTTTGATGCAAGCTCACTATCCTATCTTTTTCCTCAGAAAAATATCTATCGTTTAAACAGATGGTTTTTCTTTCTTTCTTCTCTGTGGTTGTTCTATTCTGTGTGAAAGGGAGTCACAGATATAATGAAACTAACTTAGGTCACAAGTACTGTGACACTTTCATGTGTTGCTACTCTTTGGCAAAACTAATATTAGCCATCTGAAATGCTAGTGAGTTGACACAGAAAAGGTCAAATCATAGTTTCCTTGATGTAAGCTATGACTATTGTATTCCAGCAGCACTTTATTCTGCATTGACTGGGACAGCCAGGAGCAACTATGCAGCAGACTCCAGACTGAGCATCGTGCAAACCTCCATGCAAAGAATTCATTCTTGAAATATTTAAGCATTTCCTAGGAACATGGAATTCCAAAAAAAAGAATTGGAGTTATTTTTAGAATGGGTATGAGAAGGTTAGTCCAGCCCCAATTTCAGAATGGGTGAGGTAGTGCAAGAGAACTGTCAAGTCAAGAGCTTTGGTGGAGCAGCAGACTAAAGTGCTGTTAAGTAGCACTTAGCTGCCAGCTGCCTGCAATTACTGCGAGTTCAAATCTCACCAGGCTCAAGGTTGACTCAGCCTTCCATCCTTCCGAGATAGGTAAAATGAGGACCCGGATTGTGGGGGCAATAAGCTGACTTTGTATAAAAAAAAAAAAAGAACACCGCTTAGGGGGGGGGCAAAAGCCCTGCTAAGCAGGTATATACAAAAGTATGAAGGCTATTGCTTAATGCATTGTAAGCCGCCCTGAGTCTCCGGAGAAGGGCGGCATATAAACCGAACCAATAAATAAATAAATAAATAAACTGGGAGAAACATAACATAACATAGTGGAGTCGCCTCAAAGTGAGATGGGCAGCATACAAGTCAAATAAATAAATAATAAAATAAAATATTAAAAACTTTCCTCAAATACTCTGGAGTGGGATCCCATAATAATGTGATTCCACCAGGACTAGTATAATATGTGACACTGTTGTGCAATGGTTTCCAAACATCTAGTTCGTAATGATTAGTTATGAAAAGGAAGTTTTACAAGTACAGATAAAATAGATAAGAAATTTTTCTACTAGGAATATTGGGACTCAGTTCACAGGAAAGTAACTGATAAAGAATAAATGGTTACTGCTATCATTGTATGTGGAGTGATCTTTTCTTTTTTTTAAAAAAAAACCAAAATGATGTAGCTATTGAACTGAAAAAAAATATATTAATGTGGTACTGTACCTTTATTAAGTTACTTCAAAATCACAAAAGAGTGCAAGATTTCAATTTATTAAGTCCTTGTCATCAGATAATATACAAAAGTCTTCCCCATTTGCCAAAAAAGGTGAGAAAACCAGTGGTTTATGTGGAAGAATTCCTTTATTACAAAAATATATTAATACTCATTTCCCTTATTGACAGTTGTGTAAAATAGATAATTATTTACATTGTAAAAGGGAAAAATCAAATCTTAAGGTCACATTCTGTCAAAACCCCAGATCTGAGTTTCTAATCCCATCTTCTAAAGGTGAGTTATAATTTTCATCCTGGTTTCTGCATATCAGTTTTCCTTAGTTGCTCAGATCTTCACATCTGTTTATTAAGTTGTTTGTCTTGTCTTCTCCCACTCCTCGTTATTTGAATGAAACACCAGATGAGAGTAGCAAATTTCCTCCTGTAATAATTAAGTGATTATTAAAATAATAATAATAATTCAGAGTTGTAACAAGAAAATATTAATGTAGCCAGGGGATGCAGTGGGTCACTTGGTAAGACACTGAGCCTACGCTCTGCTGAGGCTGGCAGCTCAGTGGCTCGATTCCCGTGAGCAAATAAACTGCATTGGGACAGGAAAGGAGCCTTCTCCAATTGCCTACTGGCATTCAGGTGTCCCGCAGGTAAGATAACACCGCCCAAAAAAATTCCTTTCACAGAGGCAGCCAGCCATCTCAGTGATCCCTAGCTAGCCAAACTATACTCAGGTGGGTTTAATTCTAAGCATTCAGGTGTATTAACTATGCTGTTATAAGTATATAAGACATATAAAGGAGTATATGAATTGGGGTGCCATCTTACAAGAAGACTGCATTTTCCCTTCTTTCTCACAGCCAAAAATAAGGAACCCAGTCTGCAGATTTATTAACTTATTTATTATTCCCCTCTGCCTTGAAGGAGGCGGTGGTGAGACCCCTCCTCAAGAAGCCTGCCTTGGATCTGGCTCTCATTAAGAACTATCACCCAGTTTCTAACCTTCGCCTTATGGAAAGCGCGGTGGTGTGTTAGCTCCCACAATTCCTGGATGAAGCGGATTACCTGGACCTGTTTCAGTCCGGCTTCAGGCCTGATCACAGCACGGAAATGGCATTGGTCGCGTTGATAGACGATCTCTGGCGTGCCCGGGATAGGGGTTACTCCTCTGTCCTGGTCTTACTTGACCTCTCAGCGGCTTTTGATACCATCAACCATGTTATCTTACTGCGACAGCTAAGGGGGTTGGGAGTGGGAGTGGGAGGCACTGTTTTTCAGTGGTTCTCCTCCTACCTCTTGGTCGTACGCAATTTGTGCTGGCAGGGGAGCAGAGGTCGACCCCTAGGCCCCTACCTTGTGGGGTGCCGCAGGGGTTGGTTCTCTCGCCTCTCCTGTTCAATATATATATGAAGCCACTGGGTGAGATCATCCGGGGATTTGGGGTGCCGTATCATCAATATGCTGATGATACCCAGCTTTTCATCTCCACTCCGCATCACCCCAATGATGCCCTTGACGTAATGTCCCGGTGCTTGGAGGCCGTACGGGTTTGGATGGGGACGAACAGACTTAGACTCAACCCCAACAAGACCGAGTGGCTGTGGTAACCGGCACCCTGTTTTGTCCACTATGTCCCATTGCTATCCCTGGTGGGGGGAGGTGTTGACCCCCTCAAGAAGGTACACAATTTGGGAGTCCTCCTAGACCCACAGCTTAGCTTGGAAGATCATTTGACTGCTGTAGCCAGGGGGACCTTTGTCCAGGTGCACCTGGTTCACCAATTGCGCCCCTTTCTGGACCAAGATGCCTTACTCACAGTTGCTCATGCCCTCATCACCTCTCGTTTGGACTACTGCAATGCACTTTACATGGGGCTGCCCTTGAGGAGCACTCGGAGACTTCAACTGGTGCAGAATGTGGCTGCGCGGGTTGTCATGGGGGTGCCTCGGTACTCCCATGTTACACCACTCCTTCGTGATCTGCATTGGCTCCCAGTTGTCTTCCGAGTGCAATTCAAGGTGCTGGTGATCACATTTAAAGCCCTACGTGGCCTAGGACCAGAGTACTTGCGAGATCACTTCCTGCCACTGGTAGCCTTCCATCGCCCGGTTCGCTCCCACAGAGTTAGCCTCCTCAGGGTACCTTCGGCTAGACAATGTCAACTGATGACCCTTAGGGGGAGAGCCTTCTCTGTGGGAGCCCCTACCCTCTGGAATACGTTACCCCTGGAGCTCCGTATAATCCCCGACCTCCGAACCTTCCGCCGGGCCTTGAAGACCTGGCTCTTCCAACAGGCGGGCCTGGGTTGACTCTAAACTGATTTTGTAGCTTTTTAAATTCTTAAATCTTAAATTTGAATTGGTATTCCCACGTTTAACCTTATTTATTGGATATTCTGTTTTAATATGTCTTTTAACTTTTGTATTTTCTGTTTCTTATTGTTGTGAGCTGCCCTGAGTCCTTCAGGAGAAGGGCGGCATATAAATCCAATAAATAATAATAATAATAATTAGATATTTCTTAAATCTTCTTGACCTACCCAAATAGAGACACTCCTTTTTTGAATGCGCCATGCATTAGAAGACATCAGACATATGACTAAATCTACAGGACTACCAATAACCATTAGGAAAAACAATAGCAAAACTTGAAATATTGTCCAAAAAGGGAAAAGTAGCAAACAGACATACCTGTGATGTCTCTAAAGCTGGTGGCACTGAGTCCTTGGGCTGGAAACCTTATGGGCAAAAAGAAACGTGTTTTTTTAAATGTCATTTTCTTTGCTTTATTTTCTCTTTTATTTTAAAATTTACCTGGACTTTTCTCTTGATGCCCTGGGCTCTTGAAGGCTCTGTGCTTATCTCTTGTGCTTATGCCCAGAGATATTTGATATATATAAATCAAATCAAATCAATAAACAGAATCATAATTTTAAATCTTGGGATTGAACTGCAACAGAGACAGAGGAATGATACCATGAAAGAATTGGGATTACCTCCTTTGTTGCTTCCCCCACCCTCTCTCTGTCTCTGTCTCTCTCTCTCTCCCCTCCCCCTCCCTCCCCCCTCTCTCAAAATGTTTTAGTCTCCCCTCCCATTTTAAAAAGTATTATAAAAGATATATTGTTCTGAATCTCCTACAAAGATCATATATTGTATCACTGGTATTAATTATCCTACAAGGTTTTGTCAAAGAATTCCCAAGCTTCCAAGGCCACTTTAGCCTATGAAAGATTATGGAAAAGCAATGCCTTCTTGCCAACGAATAGGCCATCAATTCTTTATTACATCAGAAGCTCTATTGCCTGACCTTCCACCCTAAGAAGCTAAAAGACAGACTTCGTGTTTTTTCTGCCCAACTGGAAGTTAGTTCTGAGGGGCATAAACTGAATGTCATACAAAAAATGTCTTTCCTCGGGTCTTTTTACTTTAATTCTATTGTGATTTTGTGACCTTGCTGAATTTTCTTTATCTGCACATTGTTCTGAAGCTCCCTGGAGGGCCGATCTTAATAATTACTTCAATCAATAACAGCAGAGAAAGACCCAGAAAGGATCAATGGTGGTTGCACAGAGCACCTAAAGAGGAGGAGGACTTTGAGCATGTGATGATAGCTACCATCTTGACTTTGTTTGATCCCCATAACTGAAACTGGATCCCAGAAAGATTAACTTACACTCTAGCCACCTTAGCTGTCATATTAAGCCTTAGCATATGAATACTCCTATTTTGCAAGCCAGAATGTCTTGCAATAGGACATATTTTGATATAGGATATATTTTCCTGATGTTACCAAGCCTAGAAGGGCAGCATCGAATCCAAAGCCAGATCACAATTAGTAGCAGAAATGCCAGTATTCCTAGGACAGACAAAGGTATTGTGTAATGTCGAAAGTCATTTGTGTGGAAAGTCCTTGTTTCTGTGGGAAATAGGGAGAGAGAAAGGAAATTGGTTTAGTCATGACTACTTAGTAAACTTAAATCAATTCTACCTTGCTCCTCATTTTACAAATTTGGAGAAATGGAGTGGAAAGAGGATCCTTCTCTGCTGATTACTTTCACCTACTTCAGCATTGCTCATGCAGATAAGTTGTTTTACAACACTCTGATTTATCTCATGACCTTTTTAATGGTCAGATTGGCGATCAAGGAGTATTCCAGACAATGTGTAATGTTCACGGCATTAGAAAGCTGATTCACTGAAATGCCACTTCAAACCTTGTGAGTGAACAAGAACCAACATTTTATCATGGACATAGGAAATAGTTTACCTGCATACAGTGTGGTGCTCAGATTCATGGACATGCCAGATGAATTGAATTTGGCTTTGCAGATAAATTCCTTCCCACCGATGGAAGAGTTTTCAGGGATGTAAAGGATGCTGACAAATGTTAAGGAACCACTGTGGTTTTTCATTAAAAGAGTCTGTCCATCTTGGAGAACATGAGAGGCATCCCAGGATATCTGGATCCAGTTGGAAACTCCGTGAACCACACAAGCCAGCCGGGTGCCACTCTGTATTGCCTGGTCTTGTGCAGAAGGTTGTAAAATCATCATCCAGCTGCTTGAGGTATAACTGTCTGAGGAGGATGAAGAGGAGGATGAGGGGAGGAGGAAGAAAGGATGACAACTCAATAAACAAATGACACTTTGTAATTAATTGTTAAAGTGGACAACTGCTTTGTTGTCCACTTTAAAGTGGATTTGCTAAACCGAATCTTAGCCCTAATAGGCTAATCTGTATTTCCATGTCAAATCCATTATTTACTTCCTACTTATGGCTACTTATGCTAATTATGACTGCAAAACCTGGTAGGAGAAGGGTGGATGCCTTTGAACTCTGGTGTTGGAAGTGACTATTATGCATCCCATGCAGTGGTGGGTTGCCCCCGGTTCGCACCGGTTCTATAGAACCGGTAGTAAAACCAGCGGGAGGCTCCGCCCACTGACCCCGATGTCACCAAAACACTTCTGTGCATGGGAACTGGTAGTAAAGGTAAGTAGAACCCACCCCTGATCCCATGGACTGCAAAAATAACAAACAAAGAAGTCCTAGACCGAACCTCACAAAAAATAATCACTTGAAGCCAAGATCACCAAACAGAGGCCGTCACAATTTGGTCATGTCATGAGAGCTGACTCACTCAAAAAGTCAGTTATGCTGGGAGTGATCAACAGTAAAAGGAGAAGGGGCTTCCCTAGTACCCGCTGATTGAATCCTATAAAAGATGACACTGGGATGACCATGGCAGATCTGAAGGAGGCAGTGCAAGACACAGGGGCATGGAGATGCTGATCCATAGAGTGGCCAAGGGTCAGACATGATTGAATGGCTGACAATGACAACTTACCTCCCACAATCAAAGAGAATGCATCAGCAAAGTTTAAGGAAAAGTAATTTTGGGATTTGTCCACACATAGATATAAGCCAGTGTCCTCTACTTTTGTGTCGAAAATTTCTAGTGTCAGCTCCTGTGCTTCAGTCTTGCAGTTAAATTTTCCTTTGCTGTCAGCAGACCCACAATTATTACTTAAAAGCCTTAGTTGAGTCTCTTCTCTTTTATACCAATATATGTTAGCTACATTTTTAGTAATGTTTTTTGAAAAATTGCACACAATTGTTGCTTTTTCCCCAACGTCCACAAACAGGAACTGATTGTTTTGGGCTTTGTATACTGCAAAGACAAAATAAGAATAATATATTGAGATTCTAATTTTAACTTGATGTCAGATCAGGGGCAGGGAAGTCAAAAATCACATTCAAAGGCCAAACTTCCCAAAACATGGACAGAAGCATATATTATATTAATACCAAAAGAAGATACAGATTCCCAACAGATAAAAAAGTACAGATCAATATCATTATTAAATGTAGATTACAAAATATATGCCTCTATAATTTCAGAGAGATTAAAAAGATTCCTAAACAAATTTATACATCCTGATTAGAATTATTTATTATTTATTTATTTGGTCAAATTTATATGCCGCCCTTCTCCCGAAGGACTCAGGGCGGCTCACAAAGGATTAAAATTGTAGAACAGTAAAAATAAATTAATTTAGATAAATTTAAAATACAACAATTAAAACCCATATTAAAGCCAAACTAAAAACACCCCACAGGTCAGGCGATTTGTTTAAAAACAAGAATGGTTTCCTACCTAAAAGACAACTAAAAAAATATGAGGATTATCTTGAACGTATTGGAATATTACAAAGCCATCCTGAAAAACAGCTAGCATTGATCTTCTTGGATGCACAAAAAGCTTTTGATAATATGAGCTGGGAGTTTATGACATTACAATTGAAGGGTATGGACTTTAGTGAAAACTTTGTAAATACGATCCAAGCAATATGTTCCAAACAATTAAACAGAGAGACAACAGAAAAAATTAGCGTAAGTAAAGGTGCCAAGGCAAGGATGTCCACTATCCCCTCTATTATTCATACTAACCCTGGAAGCCTTGCTCAGAAAGAGGAGGAACCCCTAGAAACAGGACCTAAATTAATAAAAAGAATAGAAGAGTTTGGCGATGTGGCAGGACTAAAAATAAACAAGGAAAAGACTAAGATTTTGACAAAGAATCTTACAAACAAACAGAAACATGAACTGACGGAAAAGATGGACATGCAGATAACTAAAAAAGTTAAATTCCTTTGGAATCTGGTTAACAGCAAGATGCATAACTATAAAAAGAAGACAACTACATTAAAGTATTACAACAAATAAAGATAGATTTGAAAAATGGAGAAATTTACAGTTGTCGTTAGTTGGAAGGATAGCCACAACATAAATGAATATCCTACTGAAACTGTTATTTTTATTCCAAGCAACCCCAATAAAACTAGGGAAAAAGTTCTTTGAGGACTTAAACAAGTTGATTCTAAAGTTTGTCTGGCAAGGCAAAAAACCAAGAATCCAATTGAAAATGCTGCAAGACACCAAAAATAGGGGGTGTTGGGCTACCGGACTGGGAGCTGTACTACTAGCCTCCGTGCTCAAATAGGTGAAGGAGTGGATAAATCTGAGGAACAAAAGAATATTGATGTTAGAAGGACACGACTTACAATTGGGGTGGCACACATTTATATGGTATGGCATAAGTAAAATACACAGATACTTCCAAAGGCATTATATCAGGAAAGCGCTGATTTCAGTATGAGAAAAAGTCAAACAAAATCATTAAATGAAAATACCGGTCTGGCTATCCACGATGGAAGCTCTAATACATCCTAACATTCTAGAACTGGAAAAAATCATAAGGTATAAAAACATCTTGAATGAACAAGGGGACTTAAAATCAAAACAGGAACTAAAAAATCAAGGAATTGATCTGGACTCATGGCCACATATTCAAATACAAACGAGACACAAGAAAGATTCAGAAATATATGGATTTTACAAAGTCTCATTGGAGACTATAATGCAATTGTAGATATAGAGAAGGATTATCAAAGTAGTAAAAAAAATAAATCCAGGAAAAAAACACTACCGGACACATTTCAGGATATGGTACAAGAACTCCAACTACAAGACGCTTGGAAGGAAATCAACCAAAATAAAAAACAATTTACATTTTATTTGAATCCGCATCAATCATGGTCCAGAATCGACATGGCCGCGATGACAGCAGAGCTCATTAGATATCAAACAAATAGAAATTGCAACAAATACATGGGCAGATCATAGTCCAATTGTAATAACATGGAAGGGTCATCAAGCATGGAGAAGATGGATGATGGACAAAGACATCATAAAGGATAAACAATACGTGGAAATGATTCAAAGAGAATTAAAAATATTTTTCCAAATTAATGTAAAAGAACATACTAGTTTTCAAAATCTATGGGATACAACCAAAGCTTATATAAGAGGCCTAACAATTGCCTACATAGCAAAAAAAAATAAAGACAAACAACAAACAAAAGAGAATTTATTGACGCACCTGCAACAATCTGAATTAGATTTATAGGAAGAGCCACATAACAAAGAAATTAAAGAGAGAATTAACCTTATAAGACATAAAATAAATCTAATTACAACAATGGAGATAGCAAGGAAAATTAAAATGGCTAAACGAAATCAATTTGAACATGCAAATAAAACTGGCCGGTGGCTGGCCTACAAACTGAAAAAAGAAAAAGAGAAGAAAATGATACACCAATTAAAAGACGAATATACCATAATAATGAGGATAAAAAACGAATTGCAAGGGACTTCTTTCAAAACCTATATGCAAAAGAAGAAATTCGAGAGGAAGAAACTATAGAATACTTAAGTAAAATAAATATTCAGGAATTAAAAGAAAACCATACCGAATCATTGAATAGACCGATTTCCATGTTAGAACTAACAGAAGCAAGGAAGAAACAAAAAAACAATAAAACACCGGGACCAGATGGCATACCATCTGAATTTTATAAGACATTCCAGCAATCATTAGATGACATTCTTTTTTTTTTTAATTTTAAAAAGCAAAACTTTATTCAATCTTAAAAGAAAAACATTTAAAACATACAAAGACTTGATTAAGTTAAACGTTAACTTATCAAGAAACAATTTTGCATATACATGTACAATAATCAACTTCAACTACTAACTAATTATATATATACAGATATACAAACCTACAGTGACATATTTCATTTTCTATCTATCTGACAGTGCATTCCTTTTACTTATAATAATTTCATCCAATTTTCATCTCTACCCATTTGGTCTCCTTTGATTTATCCACTGGTACCATCTATTCCATATTCTAAAATATTTTGAGTCCTCCTTATCTTGTAATTCTAAAGTTAATTTGTCCATTTCTGCGCATGTATATATCTTTTGTATTAGCTCCTGATCAGCTGGCAATCTATTTGTTTTCCAAAGTTGTGCTACTGCTAGTCTGGCCGCCGTTATTATGTGAAGTATTAAGTATTTTGTATCATTCCTAATGTTCTTTTTGATCATACCTAATAAAAAATTTTCGGGTTCTAATTCAATTTCGCAATCTGTTATTTCTGCTATCCATGTTTTAATCTTGTTCCAATATTTCTTAATTTCTGGGCAGAGCCACCAAGCATGGTAAAAAGTTCCCTGTGCTTTTTTATACTTCCAGCAAGCTGGATTTACGTTTGGGTACATTTTTGCTAATCGTGCGGGGGCCAGATACCATCGATACCATATTTTATAGTGATTTTCTTTGTAGGCCACCGACTTTGTCATGGAATAGTTATTTTCCCACACTCTTTCCCATTCTTCTAATTGTATGCTGTGACCAATGTTCCTCGCCCAGGCTATCATCTGCCCTTTAACCAATTCTTCTGCCAAATCGTATTCAAGTAGATATTTGTAAATTTTCAAAATTAACTTCCCTTCTTTGGATTCTAATAATTTGTCTAATCGATTTTGTTTTATCTCTATTCCTCCCTCCTCCTGATCCTTCCTATATCTTATCTTTATTTGTGAGTATGGCCACCAGTCTATTGCTGTTCCTTGTTCCTTTAATTCTTCTCTAGTTTTCAAATTCCCCTGTCTATCTAGTATTTCTCTGTATCTTAGTATTTTTTGTTTAGATAATATATTGGGATAGGTTATTGCTTCTATCGTCGATAGCCAGCCGGGGATTTTCATGTGTTTGTGCTGAATTTGTTGCCATGTATTAATTAGAGATTTTCTGATAGTATGATTATTAAAGTGTTTATATATTTTATTCCCTGTATTCCAAATAAAGGCATGCCAACCTTTCATCAAATCGTGTCCCTCCAAATTTAACAACCTTTGGTTATCCAAGGTTATCCATTCCTTAATCCAAAGTAGACTTGCAGCCTTATAATATTTTTGCCATGCCGGAAGGCCAAATCCCCCTCTGGTTTTATCATCTTGTAGTATATTTAATTTTATTCTTGATTTTTTCCCTTCCCAGACAAATTTTGTGGTTATTTTATCCAAATTATCGAAAAATTTCTTGTCCAAGTTTATCGGTATTGTTTGGAATAGATAAAGGAGCCTTGGCAGTATGTTTGATTTTATTGCTGCTATCCTCCCCAGCAAAGATAGTCTTAATTTCCCCCATTTCTCTAAGTCTTCTTTTATTTTTTGAACTAAAGGTTCATAATTATCTTGTTTTATTGTTATGGTTTTAGCCGTCAACTGTATCCCCAGATATTTCACTTTTTTAACTGCCTGTAATCCTGAATCTTTTACTAATTTCTCTACTTGTTTTGTTGTCATGTTTTTTATTATCATATTTGTCTTTTCCTTGTTGACTTTTAGACCTGCTACTTTTCCGAATTCTCCAATCTCTTCTAATAATTTCGGGGTTGTTTCCAATGGGTTTTCTATAAAAAAGACAAGGTCATCGGCAAAAGCTTGGACCTTGTACTCCTCTCTCTTAATCTTTAGTCCTTGTATTTCTTTGTTTGCCCTGATTCTAATTAGAAAATTTTCCAAGGTTAAAATAAAAAGTAGGGGTGGTAGCGGACATCCCTGCCTTACTCCTTTATCTATTCCAAAGAATCTCGTTGGATCTCCATTCATCAGGATACTTGCTTTTTGGTTCTGATATATTGATGTTATCATTTTAGTAAATTTCTCTCCAAAATTCATAGTTTTGATTTGTTGTTTCATAAATTGCCAATTTACTTGGTCGAATGCTTTTTGTGCATCCAGAAAGATCAGAGCTAC